GGCGGCACAGACCACGGGGCGCGGGAGTGCACCTCACCCCCGAAGTGCTCTGTCTGTGCAGACCTGGGGCGGCCGTCCGGTCACTGATTGGGGGCAAAGGGCTGTGCCCCGCCCTCCTCGCGCTGGAAAAAGAACGGCGCAAAAGGGACGTAGGCGCCCCCTGCAACGCAGCAGGAGACTCGGTCTCCCACTGCGCCGCCGCCACGGGGAGCGCCTCTCCCTCTGAAGCCGGTGCAGGCGCCGGTGACAGAGGCAAGAGAAGTGCAGGCGCCCCGGGAGCAGCCAGGTGCGCCTGCCGAAGCATGTGAAGAGGGACCCGGCCGCGGAGGGGCTATGGAGATTGCCTAAAACGGGTTCTACACGCCCCTCTGCGACGCGGGTCCTACAGGCCAATCTCAACCACGCGGCTTGGGCTCAGGATCTGCTCATCCAGACAATATCCGAGCTGCGGGTGGGATTGGTCGACGCCCCGGAGCCCTACCGTGTCCCCAATCGCCCAGACTGGGCCGGGGACGATTTGGGCTCCGTGGCGATTTTGAGTAGGGGAGACGCACCCCTTAGCGTTTTAGCTAGAGAGCGCGGCTATGTCGCGGCACGCTATGGCGGCCTGGCGGTTGTAGGCGTCTACGCCCCGCCCAGCCTGACCCTCGCGTCCTTTGAGACGTTGTTGGATCGGGTCCGAAATTGCGTGCAATTGCACTGCCGAACCCGACCAACCTTAGTCCTTGAGGATTTCAACTCCAAATCCACGGCTTGGGGTTGCCCCAGGACGGACGCGAGGGGAGATACTGTGCTGGAGTGGGCGACGGGACTGGACCTCCGGTTACTCAACCGGGGCGACAGCCACGACGCCGATGGGCGCTAGGCCGTCTTGATGAGGACGCGCTGATGGCCGCAGCCTTCGCCATGTTCTAGGTGGAAACACTGCCCGGACCGTGCGACGACGTCGAGGTGGAGGAAGAGTGGTTCCGGGACGCAATGACGGCTATCTGCGATGCCGCCATACCCCGGATCTGCGCTCCGCCGCGGCGGCTCGTGTACTGGTGGTCGGAAGAGATCGCAGCCATGCGAGCAGCAGTGTGGCGGCCCGACGCCGGTTTACGCGTTTCCGCCGCAGACGAAGTCGCGACCCGGCGAGGGAGGAGGAGCTGTACCGTGACTACCGCCAGGCAACGGTCGCCCTCCAGTCGACTATCAAGGAGGCCAAGGCCCGGGCCTGGAACGAGCATCTGGACTCTCTGGACCGCGATCCGTGGGACCGTCCCTACCGAATAGTTATGGGGCGTCTGTGACCACCGGCGCCCCCGGTCACGGAGAGTCTGGACCCCGACGTGCTCGAGCGGGTCGTCGATACACTCTTTCCGGACGATCCGGAGGAGCGAGTATCAGCCGAGCAGGCGGACCCGATTACCTGGTCCGCCAACGTTAGGGGTTTCCGAACAGGAGCTAGCCGATGCCGTTGCAAAGATCGGGACCCGCAACACGGCCCCGGGCCGTGACGGCATTCCCGGCCGGGCCTGGGTAATGGCCTTGCGCGTTCTCGTGCCCCGTTTCCGGCGGCTGCTGGACGGCTGCCTGAAGTCGGGGCGCATGCCGCGACAGTGGAAAAGGGCCAGGCTCGTCCTCGTCCTCAAGAAGGGAAAGCCCGCGGACTCTCCCTCCGCCTACCGGCCCGTTTGCCTGCTGGACGAGGCTGGGAAGCTTTTAGAGCGTGTGCTCGCTTCCCGCCTCGCCGCTCATCTCGATCGCGTCGGCGAGCTCGGCCTGGCCGAGTACCAGTATGGATTTCGCGATGGCCGCTCGACACTCGACGCAATCGAGCACGTCAAGGCCCTCGCGCACTCGACCGTGTCCTGTGGCGGGGTGGCGCTGGGGGTGTCTCTAGACATCTCCAACGCGTTCAAAACCTTGTCCTGTGGCAAGATACGGGAGGCGCTCCGGGAGTCTGGAGCGCCTTCTCACCTGATGGCCGTGTACGCCGACTACCTGCGGGATAGATGGGTGGAGTATCCGGGACGGTACGGCATGCACCGGAGGGAGGTGAAACGCGGTGTACCCCAGGAGTCCTGTTCGGGCCCCGTTCTTTGGTTGGTGGGGTACAACTGCGTGCTAGGCGGGCCCCTACCTCCCGGCGTGGCGGTCGTCTGCTTTGCAGACGATACGTACGTTATCGCCCGGGGGCAGGGAATGGACGAGGACGAGCCGGGTCGCCGAGATGGGAGTGGCCTCGGTCGTCGCCCGGAACCGCGCATTGGGGTTGGAAGTGTCGCCGCAGAAGACGGAGGCGGTTTGGTTTCACGGGCTTCCTCTGTCACGGCGACCTCTCCCAGTGCGAATCCGCATAGGTGGATCCTGCATCGATGTCCAGGATCGGATCAAATATCTCGGCCTGGACATCGATGGCCGCTGGCGCTTCAAAGGGCACTTCGACCGCTTGTCCCCCTGGGTTGAGAGGGTGGCGACCATGCTTGGTCGCCTCATGCCCAATCTCGGGGGCCGCAAGAGAGGGTGCGCCGCCTCTATGTTGGAGTGGTGCGGGCCATGGCCCTATACGGATGTCCCGTATGGGCCGACACCCTAGGCAAATGCCGGCAAAGCCGGCACATGCTCCGCCGCATACAGCGGCGGGTGGCCATCAGGATGGTGAGGGGCTACCGCACCATTTCCACGGAGGCGACACTGATCCTGGCCGGATACCTCCCCTTTGACCTCCACGCGGCTGCTGACGCCGAAGTTTTCAAGCGTCGGCGGGAGCACTGCCGAAGCGGGGAGGACCTGCCGGCTAAAGCGGTCAAACGATGGAAGCGCCATTCACGGCGGTGCGCACGAGATGCGTGGTGGTTGGAGCTGCTAAACTGCCCCGCTGCCCGCAAGCGCACTGTCGGCGCGGTTCTGGCCAACCTTGATGGTTGGCTGGACCGCGGGCATGGCAGGCTCACCTACCGGCTCACGCAGGTGTTCACCGGGCACGGATGTTTCGGTGAGTACCTGCATAAGGTGGGTGCGGCGGCGACGCCCGAGTGTCATCAGTGTGGGGCCGTGCTGGACGCGGCCCAACACACGTTGGAGGAGTGTCCGTCATTTGCTGGCCAAAGACGGGCACTCCAAACACAGATTGGTGGAGACCTCTCGCTGCCGGCCGTAGTTGATGCCATGATCGACAACGAGAGGTCATGGAATGCGGTAGCCTCCTTCTGCGATGCAGTCATATCGCAGAAGGAGGCAGACGAGCGGTATCGGGGGAATGCTCCGATTCCGCTCGTCAAGAGAGAAGACGGGTTGGGCGGGCCTGGAGGCGGCGTCCGGCCGTATTACTGGCCGATCCCCACACAGCTGGAGGGATCGTTACCGGGGTGCCCGGAGCCCCCTAATGGCCTGCCTGCCCGCTGGCCACCCTGATCGAGGGCGGCCAGAATGGTGATACGGCCCCTTGCGCGCACGTTTGTCATGAGTCACAGTCACGGTGACTCGGCGTGTCGCGCGAGGGGCTGCGGGGACCGAGACGGTTGGCGGTAGGGCGCCTCCGTCTTCGTGACCGGTCCCAAGGCGGTCGGCGTCAGGGTATGGCCCTTGGCGCCGAGAGAAATTGAGGAGATGGGCTTCTTAACGATTAGGGGAGCCTAGGCACGGCGGTCGTGGTGGAGTTCTTCTTATAGTGCTCACGGCCGCCGTAATGCCCGACGTTGGCCATCGGTGGGGTTTAAGTGGGTATACCGCGGGCGATCGGGCCCGCTGAGAGTCCCACACTACCCGGCGAAGAAACCCTACATCGCCGGGTGTGCTTAATGCATTTCCCCCTCGTTAAAAAAAAAAGATATGCGTCTTCGATGGTTTTTTCGTTTAAGAATCTATAATCTATTACTACTTGCCATTTCTTATTCCCGGCTGAGTCTGCCTTTTTAGGTACAATCCATATCGGTGAATTATAGGAAGACATGGATGGTCTAACTATTCCGTCTCTCTGGAGTTCATTTATTTGTCTGTTTATTTCTTCTTTATGGACTGGAGGAAATCTATATTGATTTGAATTTATCGGAATATCGTTTGTGGTTTCGATTTTGTGGGTCACTCTTTAGCGTGTGACAAAGGTTCGCCTTTGAAGTGAAAACATTCTGAATACCCTCTAACAAGTTCCATTACGTGTTCCTTTTCTTCAGAATTAAGATGATCCAATCGTAATTGGCTGATTATTTCGTTTCTTCGTTCATCGTGTGCTGTGCACATATTAATATTCTTAAACCCAATATCTTCGGGTGTGTCAAAAGGTAATGACTCTGTTACTGGAATTTCTATCTCTTCATCATTCGTTGTTATATTGTAGCACATGGCCATCGCTCGGCCCATATTATTAGTAACGGCGCATTGGCCCAAAAATATTCCTTTCTGGAACGTTATTAACTTTATATACCCTGTTTTTTCAGTTAAATGTATTGCAAACAATTTTATCGGCGTTACCGATCTGGCTCTTAGGTTGATTTTGCTTGTAACATAGAATGGTATTATCCATCGATTCCATTTAACGATTTGTTTCGCATAGTCGACTTTGGCTGAATGATTTTGAAGGAAATCGGCCCCTAGGATCCCGTCATGAGAGATATTGAAATCGTTCTTTACGACGTAGAATGGGACTTTATACCCGAGGGTGCATAAGAAAACTCGTCCTAACGTTGGGGCTAACCCTTGCCCAATTCCCCTAAGGGTTGGACATACGCTGGTGTCAAGCTTGTGAGAGACGGGGAGTAACGATTCCTTAATTAGATTTATTTCGAGTCGATCATAAACGTAGAAGATTTATCGGAGCCATTAAAAGAAAGTTTAATTATGGGTACTGAATTACCGTTGATGGGATGCAGATTTATATTTCGAATAATTGTCCGAGTAGACTGTCCTCGACTTACGTTATTCCTTTCGCTGATTCCTCTTTGTTTGAGGCTGTTTCCTTTTGTCGGAGAGTTCCTTTCGATGTTCCTGTTGTCGTTGGGTATAATCCGCGGTTTCTGTTAGACGATGGGCCCTGCGCGGGCCTGTGGCGGGCCGTTGACTTTTCCTGAATTTATATATCCGAAGCCCCTCTTATTGTTTTTAGGTGTGCATTCGATGGGTGATGTTCGTCCTTGGTTATGTTTTCCTAATCCTTCGCCTGGTACGTATCCCATTTTGGCCATAATTCTGTGCGCGACTGATTGTATAGGTTTAGATGTAGTTAAATTCTGCCCGACGGGGACGTTGATGGAGGATGTTTGATTCTTCGCCTTTAAACTTAGGAGGATGGTTCTGGATTTTGCGTCATTATTGGGTGCTCTTCTGCTGGTTGGTTCCCGCGATCGGCGCTCTGATTGAATCGGGGAATCGGTGCACGTCTGTTGTATGGTATTGACCCTTGCTTCCTCTGCTTTGGACTGATTTTGTTCGTATTGTCTGCGTGCTTGTAATTTTCGACATTCTTTGATAGTATGACCCGATGTTTTGCAATAGCGGCATTGTTTGTCGGGCGGCCTCGCGCTCTGGTTAGAATAACTATTTGATCTTGTGTTGGTGTTCGTGCTACCGAATCTTTCGCCGTAGTTAAGCCTGTTGTCCCGATTGTTTCCAAAATTATTATTATTGTTGTAGTTGAGGTTGTTGTAATTCGGTCGAGGTCTCTCCGGGTTACCGTTATAGTTATTACAATTATAATTATTGTTATTATTATTATTGGGTCGAGGTCTGTCCTGATTGTTATAATCGAACCGAGGTTTGTCCTGTCGTTCATATTGTTTGGGTCTGTAATCTTGCCTTCTATCGTAGTTCAAATTATAATTTTGCCTGAAGCGAGATTGCTCGTCCACGATGTCTGTGTGAATGCGAATCGCCTTTTGAATAGCGTCATCTAAATTTTTGTAACCTTCGAAACGAAAGCTTCTAATGTTTCCTTTTGTACTTCGTATTCAGTTCGCTCGTCTAGTAAACCGTATCTCTGTTGATCTAAGTCTAATATTAGATCCCTGAATTCCTAAATTTTAATCGCGTAGTCTAATACTGGTTGATGTGGTGCTTGAAAGGTTCGGCTTAGCTCACCTGTGTCGAAATTTGCGCTTTTCATCGGGGAGAATAATCGTCGTATTTTGTTGCATAACTCATTTACCGTTTTAAATTATGATCGACCAATAACTCTCTAAGCTGGTCCGTGGAGTTTGTTAAGGATGGTTCGCGTTAAGAGTGGTTCGTCGCCTGGAAGTAAATAATCGTGTGCTCTGAGACATGATTCGCAAAAAGAGATAACCATGGACCTCGTGCCATCAAAATTTTGAATTCCGTCTGTCGCTTCTTTGACTCTTTTGTGAATGCCTGGTGAGTTAGAATCTAATGGTGTGGGATCTGTCGAGAGTCTTTGATCGTTTACAGGATCTTCGTAGGTGAGACCTTCGCGGCTAGGTGTACGTTCTGGAATCGCGGATTGATTCTTTAAATCCTTCATATCGTTGCTTAATTTTTGAACTACTAATGTTAATTGTTTTAAAATGTCCGTGTGTTCTAGTATCGTAGCGTCTTTTCCTTGGTCTATGCAGGCTTGTTGATCGTTTATTTGCTTTTCCAGAGTGTGTCTATCTATTTCTATCTGTCGTTCTAGTTTGCGTACTCTTTCTTCGCGTTGTTTGACGTGTTCGGCCATTGTTTCTAATTCGTAGATCGTATACGGTGCTGCATTGGTTGTAGCGTAGCGTGTCTGTACGCCGTCATTGGAACTCATATTGAATTATTTTTTCAAAAACACGTTACGTCCTTATAACAAGGTTTTAGTAAAATTGTTTAGGCTCTGATGTCGAGAATTTGTTTGTTAGTTTCTTTGAATTTTTACGAGATCGTGTAAATAGTAAGAATTTTGGAGAAAATCAAATAATAATTGCAAGAAACGATGAAATCTCACCTTTTAATCCATTAAACAGCGAATTTTGGCAAATTAGGGTTAAGATTTTAAGTGCAAGCCCACATTTTAGCGTATTAAATTCTCAAAATTTTAATCGATCCCAACTTTTGGCGTATTAATTTCACATAATTTTTAATCAATCCCACCGCTGTCACCAAATTTTTTCTTGTCACGTCTTGTTATAGATCAAAATGCTAAAGCTGTGCGACAGAAAGACCCGCATCAAGACGCGTAAAAGTGTAACGTGCAGCCATCCCCTGCCCGTTTATTTTTTTTTCTTTCCGAGACGTTATGCCCCAGCGCTGACGATCTTGAGACTACGTTATGCCCTAGCGCTGACGCTAATTACATAGTTGGGATTATGATCCAAGTATACCGTATAGAGAGCCTAGGACGCCCACTATGCCGAGGAGAAGGGAGGATTACCCCTTAGTGGAGCTATTGGGGGAAGGTGTACCTCTAGGGGACACCAGTAAACGAGTTTGAGCTCTGAGGAACGACAGAGCTTTCGAGGATTGCACTTTGCGGTGGAGAGATGTCGCAAGTGTGGAAGAGCCTAAATATTTTGAGTTCAATGCACTTTGCACTCAGACGAGCATTTTCGGTGCACTTGTACTGAAATGAACTTTTGATCTCGGTGCGCATGCATCGGACGGTAAATTTCCCGTTCATTGACCCCTATCTGGGTATAAATATGACTGCCGTGGAAAGGAGTAATTCATTCCTAGTTCGACTTTATACACGGCAACATCGTACAACACAGTCGCTTTACGACATTATACACGGCAACATCGTACAACACAGTCGCTTTGCGACATTATACACGGCAACATCGTACAACATAGTCGCTTTTCGACATTATACTCGGCAACATCGTACAATTCATTCCTAGTTCGACATTATACTCGGCAACATCGTGCTAGTCATTCGCGTTTCGACTCTCTCGGCAATATCGTGCCGCGCGTTTGTACATTTCTGTAAAACGATCTTTACATTTTTAAAGACGAATTAATAAACTCAAGTGATTATACCAGTGAAACAGTGTTCATCATTCAAAATAACCCAACCTCGTGTGCACTAACGTATGTTTCGCTCCTTCCTCATCCATCG